ACAAGTTTAAGTCCTTTTCGGAAATAGAAGCTCAAAATTTCATCCGCAATGACTGATCAATTTGTTCTTTTTCAATACCAAGTTGTGGGATTGAACTTGGACAATCATTGAAATGGCTAAATCTGATCAATTATATAATGGTATTTGAACTTTTCTCCCCTCATACCAAGCAAAATTTTGTTCCTATAATCCAACCTCATAAATTCAAATTCAATTCCAAATCTTTACCATTATATATATATATATATATATATTCCTATATCATTTTTCTTCTTCATGTACCCTTGTCATTTATAATTTAAAGTAGGCTAGCCTTTAAAGTATGAAATTTTATCACATTTTAGATATTCTTGATTTTCTTTATGAGTAAAATTCTCTAGTGGTGTAAAACTCATATGTACTCGGAAAATAAAAACACGAATTATTAATGTCATTACGTCACTTATATACATTAAACATTTTTCCATGTTGTCATGACGTCACTTATACTCATTTCAAAGTTCCATGCTACCAATCCATTTTTTGATATATTTTCGGTACCCTAGAGGTGTGAGCTTCAGTTTACTGGTGCTAAACTGTTGTTTCATGGATTTGTCAGTTATACATCCAATTACTAGTGCTATCATCCCCTCACAACTTAAAATCGCATGTGAAGGTTTTCGAGCTCATATGATTAAGAGCAGTTATCCTTATATCAAAGGTTTTGGGTTCAAATCCCCTCCCTCAATATTGATTGTGTTAAAAATAAAAAATGAAAAACCACATTTCATATGTTTCATGGTTCACTTCTCAACAACATTTTAACACATTATTCTATATATAAAAACGTAATTTAGATTTATGTATAGAATTCTAAAATGACAAAATTTAGATTTTCATCGTTTAAATGTCTTGCAATTAACAATTTCAGTGTTTGGATTTATGTATGCCAAATTTTGTAAATGATATAAATTATAAGGAAAAACAATATCATGCTCAATAGAAACTGTGAAATGACGTTTTTTTTGGTGGAATTTAAACTCGGAAATCTCGATCCCCAATTTCCACAATTTTTTCCACACATCATTTAATAAGTTTTGTGGCTTTAAGTTGCCAAACAATAGAAATATCAAATTCTCCTCTTCAATTCTTAATTTTTAACTAAATTCCGAGTTATTTTCCACTATCCAAAAGGTAAAATAAAAGAATCAATATACGTACATACATTCATATATCAAATTACCTACACAACGTTTAATTATGTGGTTGTTTATATGTTTCGTTAACAATTTATTCCAAATAAAAAACAACCATGGAATCAAAATTATTGTGGTTTAATCAGAATAAATTAAATCCTTAAGTCCATTACGGAAAACCATGAAATTTCTTAATCATGCTTTATTATCACATTTATTAATCATGAATTGGATAAAGTTATAAGACTCAATTCATGACCCAATAAGATCTTGAACTTCATAATTTTCAAAATACTATAAGGTGGAAATTTCAATAAACATAATTTACATACATACCTTGATAATCAGCCTTCAAAATCTATAGTTAGAGATAGTACAATTTTTCTAGTATAGCCCTAAGTAAGTGTTTGCCCGTTTTGCGTTTACTCCTGTGATGGAAGGGCAAAGTTCCCAACTGCCTTGAGAACCATAGACTGGTCAACAAGTCAGCTTTCTTTGGTGTGCGAGCGTGCCACTGCTAGTAATAAAAATTCTAGCAGACTTAGTTTGGAATGGATAACTTGCGCCCCAAGTTACTGATTTCTGCAAACAAACGATTGTGAATTTGGGTGAGGAATATCTCCCAAGTAAGTTCTTTTCTCGCCTCAGACTGGTGAGGACTTTAACAATTTATCTCAGTATAAAAAGGCTGTTCTGGCCAGAATGGTTGATGGAATTTAAACTGTTTTTAGGCAGAACTGCCTTTTACAAAACTATAACAATAAATACTCATGCTAGAGAGATGAAGATACAGTTGGAACTCCATTTCTGCCTGGATGGGAGGCTCTGTTCTGGGCTGGACTGGAAATGTCCGGGCTGGACTGGAGACGTCCGGGCTGTACTGGAGATGTTTGGGCGGGACTGGGAATGTTTGGGCTGGACTGGAAAGTTGACAACCTTGACTGCTAAGCTTCAACTATAAATCGATACCAAAGGTTGATTCTGGCAGAGCTTCAATGT